GTGGTAAGTAGGCAAGGCGATAGATACATGTACTACTTATGTTAATTAGCCTGATTTAATCTTTCCACATGTGTACATATATGAAAATATTACATTATACCCCATAAATATATACAATTATTTGTCAATCAAAAAATTTGGCCTGGCTTGGTGGCTTAAGCTCAGGAGTTTGAGACCAGCCTGAGTATGGGCGATACCCCGGCTCTACTAAAAAAAAAAAACAAAACAAAAAGACAAAAAAGCCCCAGAAAAACTAGCCAGATATAGTGGCTGGCACATGCCTATAGTCCCAGATACTGGGTAGGCTGAGACAAGAGGTTTGCTCAATGCCAAGAGTTTGAGGTTGCTGTGAACTATGATGATACCATAGCATTCTACCCTGGGCAACAAAGTGAGACTCTTTCTGGAAAAAAAAAGTTTTTTAAAAATTCTTAGTAGCATAAATTTAAGTTAAAATTGTAGTTAAGAGGCTCATACAAAGGAATACCAAACACCAGTCAAGAGAGAATGGGATCAAAATAGCACAACTAACATCTATTGAATAGACAGATGGGTAGAGTGGATGAAGTCATAGCTCACAGCAACCTCAAACTCTTGGGCTCAAATGATCCTCTTGCCTCAGCCTCTCGAGTAGCAGGGACTGCAGGCACCTGCCACATCACCCAGCTAATTTTTCTGTTTTTAGTATATATGGGAGTCTTGCTCTTGCTCAGGCTGGTCTCAAACTCTAGAGCTCAGGTCATCTACCCTCCTTGGCCTCCCAGAGTACTAGGTTTACGAGAGTGAGCCATCATCCCTAGCCAATAATTATTTTAAAATATTAAATAACATGCTTTTTAAAGTCTGTTCAGGGAGTATCTCATTTGATTTTCACAACAACCCTGAGATAGGTACTATCATTTGTCTTATTTTACAGATGAATAAACTAAGGTACAGAGAGACTAAGTAACTAGCCTAAGGTTAAATGAAAAACCAGAATCTAATAGTAGGCAGCCTGGCTCCGGAGCCCAATATTTTACCCGCTTTGACATATTGTATGTTTAGAGATTTCCATTTATTGTGACTCTTACAGTTCTGTGTGTAACAAAACCTAAGTGCTGTGTGTGTCTTGTAAGTGTGGCACATGTATGTTAAAAAGTTTAATAGACTGCAAGGACATAGT